AAGCTCAAAGAAAGATTAAGAAACCCACCCCAAATTACACAATAGCAAGTGGTGAGATCAGAAATCAAACCCAGGCAATCTGACTCAGGTGGCAGTGAGCAAGGAGGGAGAGAAGTGGATGCTTTGGGGAGGAAAGAAATGTAAATTTAAGAAGATTAGGAAGATCAGGTGATGGGGTTGGGGGGAGGGGGAGAGAGAGAGGGAAAACACCAGAGATGAAGCCAGGCTTTTTGACTTGAGCAAGTAGGAAGTTAGTGGTGCCTTTTGCTGAGCTAGGACCTAAAGGAGGAGGCACAGTTGCCAGGGAGAGTGTGGAGGAAATGATGACTGCAGTTTGAGACACACTGAGTTTGAGGCGCCTGCGGGACACGCAAGTGTATGTCCGCGCACGCTTGTTACAGCTCTGCTCCTTGTGGGAGAGACCGCAGGTAGGGGCATAGAGTTGGTGGTCTCCAGAATAAAGCCTGTTCTTTCTACTTGATTGTTTGATGCTTTAGTAAGGGACTAGAGAACTGTTTGCAAAGGCCTTGGTTTTGATTCTTTACGTTTGACTTTTTGTAAACATCTAAATCTATGGTTATGACTTAATATATTCACTCCAATATATTCATGGATACATAGATTAGATAGAAAGACAGACAGATAGACCTCAACTAGGCAAAGATGAAAAGGCACAGTTCTGACCCCAGGACACTTGTTATGTCATATAGAGATGGAGAGAGAAGTGGTCAGTTTATGCCCTGTCCCCTTTTTCCTAATTACTACTCCACTGCATTGTATTTTATTCAGGTCCCAGAAAGTATGTCATCACGGCAGGTCTGGGAGTTCAGTGTAACTCCAGAATGACCCTCTGTCCAAAGATTCGATTAAACATTCTGCAAGACTGATTACAGCCTGGGACCCTGGGACGGGCAGAAATGTGAATTCACGTAACTCCAGGACACCTGGCTGGAACAGTAGACTGGGGTGAGGGTTGGGGGAGGTCCTGGAAGGCAAGGTGTTGGTGGCTTCAGCGTGTGACCTGCTATGACTGTGCTTCATTGGAAGGTGTCAAGCCTTCTTTCCCTGTGGGGAGCTGTCTCCAAAAGCTGGGATCTGATTAGTTTGCATTTCGTTTCTTTGCTGCCTAATGAACTGCCTCTGTAGTTCTAGCTGTGATGTCATTAGCATCTCATTGCCTTGGGCACCAGCTCAGGAGAGAGATTCTTAAGCAGTCCCAGAATCCTACAGGAATTGTACCAATTTACTTCATAACAACTAATTCGCCTTCATGACCTGTCAGTTTCCACCAGCAGAGCAGACCCGGAATGAGAATGGGTCCCTCGCTTTCATCGCCCTCATGAGCTCCTGAGTCTGGGGGGGTCGATAGGTACATGCCGAAGGCCATGGGCACATCCACAGTGAGATGCCGAGCATTAAGGATGCCCATGTTCTCATACCATGATATTCTATTGGGGGAATTTATCCACTGTGTGCTGTAGGATACAGATTTAGCCTAAAGCAAATGGCATTTATTTATAGCAAACTGTGTTTGCAAAATGCTTTGCAGTTTTAGGGTTGTTAACTACATTCCGGGTTGAATGTTCTTCTACTTGTAGGAAAGTGAAGTGTCTAACTGGACTCCAGAGCCTACCCTGAGAGCAATGGGGTGAATTCAGCAAACGGGTGACAGAGCCACACCCAGGTATTCTTTATCACACGGCACCTTTGTCACTTATACTCTTTTGAGACCTTAATTGTAGCTTATTTCTGATGTCCAAAGACTGTGTGCTTATTGAGATAGAATGTTTATTTTACTAAGAGACAGCATAGTGTCTCAAATCACTAGAGCATTTCTACCCAGGCTCTAGAGGGTAGAAGAGAGAAGACGTACCAAAAATGCGACCCCAGAGGAAATGAGGTGGAGTCTCGCCGTTCTCCACACAGGGACCTCTCCACCACCCGCTCCGTCCCCGCGGGAGTTGAAAGCAAATGTCAAAGATCAGCCTCTCCGGATGCTTTTAGGACCTGAACTGCTCTCACTTTCCGCAGACACGCTGGTTATAGGTGCTCTTTGGGCTAAGGGAGATTTATCTGGGCTTTCACCACCGGACTCCATCATTTTAAAGAGTATTTCCCCATTGTCTCTTTAAGTGCACATAGGAAATGCATCTCTTCTTTGAAAAGTCTCTCTCTCGCACACATCCCCATTCTTCCCTGGAACCTGCACAGATAGCTTTCGGGAGCTCGCTGCTCGTTACTTCTCCCGTCCAGACGGCTCCATGCTGCCCGAGGAGGGGACCAGCTGGCCTTGGCCTCCAGCAGGGCCCTCTGTGCGCGCAGCTGAAGAGAGCCAGGGGGCAGAACAGGATCTGAATTAAAACGAGGGGTGGGGGCTCCCCATCCTTTCCTGCATCCTCCTTCCCATTCCTCTCCCCTCTCTGCCCCCCAACCTTGCCGGGCATCCGGGGCTGAAGGATCTGGACGTGGGTTCGCTGAACCTTGGTTGTAATTGGGGTCCCCGGGCAGCAGCAGCCGGGGGAGCAGCCCCCCAAATGCTTACAGCCCTCCGTGTCCTGGTGCGGAGCTGGCAACGGGGCCCGGGGTGGCGGCGCCCCGGTGGCCGGGCCTGGCCCGTCGGAACCGAACCTCCTGATAACGAGTGCGTGGGGGCGGGGAGCGTTCGGAGTTTCGGGGATTAAAGGTAAGAGAAAGGGAATTCGGTGGCGGGTCACTTCCCCCTTGACGCAGCTTTGACTCGGCGTTAGGGACGTTGAGGAAGGGGTTTTATTTTCCCTTAGTTATCCTGTCGTGACCTCCGCCCCTCACTCTGCATTTTTTCTCCTCGGGGTAAGTGTTACGGCGTTATTTTATCCGTTAACGTGCATTATCCAGGTGAAAACAAATGGTAGCTGCACAGCACTTTTTAAGGCAGCCGTGTGTTGCGTTGCCGTAAGTTTGCTTTCCGTGGTGCCGAAGCGGTCGCCTCCGTCTGTCCTTGTCGCTCGCCGAAGCCATCTCAGACCGAACACCCCCACCTAGCGGCCGTCGGGGGAAGTTCTTTCCCCGCCTGCGTCGCGCCGGTTCTCGGCAGGGCGGGGGGTCGGGAGGGGGCGCGTCCCCTGCAAGGTGCGTAAGGGACCCGGAGCTCTCTGGCAAGGCTTGCGTGCGGAAACTGCAAAGATTTCCTTTTGAACAGAAACTATATCTTTACGGATGGGGGGGAATTTTATTTACTTTCTCAATGAGTGAAATCCCCACCCCCACTGACTGCTGCCTGGCGGGTTCTGCGCGTGGCACATTGGAGCCCGGCCCAGGGCCGGATGGGGAGAGTCTTGGGCCAGCTGCGGCCGCTTCGCTCCAGCCGTGGGGCTGGCTGAGCCGTGTACACCTGAATGTCATACAGACATACCCGTGGGCGAAGCGATTCGGGGGCTAGTCTTGGGTGATGCCATCCTTCTTGGTCTTGGTGTGTGCAGTTATGCGGTTCTCTTATAACCTATGAAGGGCTTGAACTCCACTATGGGCACATTATTTAGCAAAATGCAATGTGAGATTCATTGTATGCCATATTTATAGTCACCGAGGAAGTTCCTTGCCTTAGCGCGCACGAGGAGTCCCACGTCGATGGGGCTGCCGGGTGCAAATGCCCCGTGGCAGGATGGTGGTGCTCCCCTGGGAAGCAACAGCGCCAGAATGCCTCATGACACTTCCAGACGGGCTCACACTGCATAGCAGGTGGGAGGGAGGAGAGCAGAGCGCTCTCTGGACCCCAGAAGAGACAGCGATTGGTATGACGTCAGTGAGTCCACATCTCACAGTCGTCTTCTGGAACCATTTTTCAAATCCTTCCAACCAGTTCCCCCAAAGATCCGGCCCATCAAGTATCACATTCTTGACGAGTCCAGGAGGACCAGAGTGAATGTTCTGTGTATGCCCATTATTTCCAGAAGCCCAGCGGTCTCTCTAAAATTGTTCCATGCTAAGGACTGAAACTGTACCGAAAAAGGTTGAAAATCTCTTAAGAAACCTAGTGCTTTTAGTCACAAACTCTACTTCCATCTTCCTTTCGAATGAATAAATTAAGTGGAGAATCACGAGGACTGGGAAGAGAAACATCAAGCAGTGCTGTCTTGTATAGGGAACAAACCGTTATTTTCTATTGGACACTTTTCGTGTCTGTTGCCAAAAACAGACCAAGAGCTTCTTTACCTTTTACACATCAAACAAGAGTGATACGGACCCATCACTCAGGCTTTGGAGTGAAAGTCTTTGTGAAGAGGTCAGAATTCCCTCCCCATCTCCAATACGTTGATTGATACTGAAGCAAGAAAGTCCTGTTCTTCTTCTTCTATGATCTGGAGACTTGGGAATCAGACAAAAGTGGGTTCACACCCCAGCTCTCACAATGTGCTAGCGTGTGACCTTGAGGCTCTCGGCCTCACTTTCCTCATCTGTAAAATGAGCATAATGATAGAACTTCATGCAGAGAGTTGTTGTAATGGTTAAAGGCGATCTTGAAGGGGTCTCACCTTGTAGTGCAGGCTCCATAAATCTCGGCTACATTTATGATCAAAACCATCATGACAGTGGTTTGGCTTGTGCTAGCCACTGTGTCATGTGCTTTAAAAGCATTTTTCCATTGATTCATTCCACAATGCTAGAGGTCGGTACTATCAGTATCTTCGCTTTATAGAAGAAGAAACCGAGTCATAGAACAATCACCGTTGTTAATGTTTGTGTCCTTGGTGATGGTCATCAGCGCAGATCCCACAGAAGCTTCCCTCTGAGAGGAACATTCTCAGAGAGGAAACAACCCAGGAGGGCCGTCCCCAGCTCTGTGGGTCACTGGGACGGTGGGTGACCCAAATTAAGTTGCAGGGAAGAATCACGCTCTTACCCCCTCAGGGGCACTGTCTGACCTCTCAAGGATCGGACCCCAGGACCCAGGGGCGATGAGGTCATGCTGGTCCTTGATCTTCTGAATCTCTCACTCTTTCGTTTCATTTTGTGTCCCGCAGGCAACTCCCCATCCGATGAGTCAGAGGAGCGAGAAAGAGACCCCAAGGTGCTGACGTTCCCAGAATACATCGCCAGCCTGTCAGACTCTGGCACCAAGCGCATGGCCGCTGGAGTCCGCATGGAGTGCCAGAGCAAGGGACGATGCCCCTCGTCCTGCCCCCTCTGTCACGTGACATCCAGCCCTGACTCCCCTGCTGAGCCGGTTCTGCTGGAGGTGACCAAAGCAGCCCCCCTCTATGAACTGGTGACCAACAACCAGACCCAGAGGGTAAGAGGCCTGGGACGCTTGGCTCCTGGAGGCATAAGCCACAACAGAGGGCTTTCCAAATGGCATGATGGGGAGACAGGGTGCAGTTGAGCGCCATGCTGGAATATGGATAGTGAGGCATTGTGTTAAGCTATCCAGGGACTTAATTTGCTTAGATTTGCATGTTTGCATTTTAAGTCAAAATCACTGCATCCATAACACCCTCGTTGATATGATTTAGGAGTCACAACTGAGCTCTCCTGTAGGACTTTGAGCAAAAGGGGCTGGAAGGAAGCAGGTAGACAGGGAGGTACAGTGTTTGCAGTCATCATAGTCATTGTTCAGAGAGTCCTCATGCCTTGGGGACGGTCATGGAAGGAGGCCTGGCTCTGTCTCAGGCCTGTGGGCATGGGAGGTCGGCCAGCTCCCCTAGCTGAGCCCTGCGCCTGGACCAGCCGCCCCCAGACTAGAAGGAGCACATCAGGCCCAGGTCCCAAAGGGAAGGGTCTGGCAACCCTGGCCTGGAGGGGGTTGGTTTTCTGCCCATCACTCTGCTCCAAGAACAAAACACATCCACACAGATCCTTCTGCCTTTTATTATGCTGCTAGGTCATGACATTCCCCAACCACTCCTCCTTTGCCTCTGCTGCTCCCTTCCAAAGAAGCCAGGAGAAAATAGACGGTCCCGAAAGGAGAAGCTGGAGAAAGGCGGCAGGGGCAGTGTCTCAGCTCATTTCCTAGCTCTCTGACCTGCTCAAGGACACAGAGATCAGAGCGAGTCAACACACCCAACAACAACAATGACAACAGAAAAACAAGGGCACTCCAGGTGTGGGACTTCTGAGACTACCCGCAAAGGCAGCCTTGGGGACAAGATGTGGCAGGAGTCGCAGCAGTGGGCTGCTCACCTGCCTGAGAGGGGTGCCCCTCCAGGTGGGGCGATAATTGCTTTCTTTTCTCTGCTTTAAGGAACACCTGGTGTGCGTCACAGTCGGTTTCGTAGGTAACGCTCAGACCGGCAGGAGGGATTTTGCATGTGTGCGTGCTCCTCTTGCCAACCCGCCTCTGCCACGGAGATTTCACTGAGTGTTTGAAAATAGGGGTTTTCACAGGAACACAAAGATAAATCGCTTCCGTGGCCCACCTATTCCTCTTCAGTCTGACAGAGGCGGCTGTGGGAAGAGGAGTTGGAGAAAAGACCCCACCGCAGGAGGGGGGGCTGGAAAGGGTGCAGAGCAGGGACTCGGGTCACTCTGGAGACCAGAGCTGCGGTGGCTTTAACCCAATGCCCAGCCCACCCTCACCTGCCCCACGTGGCCTCATAGGCTCACGTGAGCATCCAAGGCTGCCGCGGCTGATACCCCAAGAGCTCCTGGCCCGCCCGCTGGCCTTGGAGCAGTGGGGTCGGAGAGCTGACGCAGGACCGTCCTGCGGGGCAGCGTGCAGAGCCGCAGCCCGGAGCCCGGTGCGAGGGGAGGGCGTGCTGTCCGCACTTGCGGGGTGTCTCCAGCAAAGTGAGGAAACTGAAGGCAGTTTGTCTCCAGCAACCCCTCCCTGCCATACCCGGGCTCCTCCCTTTCTCCCTGCACCAGTCTTAGGAGTGGGGTTGGGAGAGGCTTTCCGTCTGGCCGGAGTCTGAACACTTTAATTTCTAAACACACAGACAGGGAGGCCCTGGCTGGCATTCAGTCAAGCACGTTTCTTGCTCTGCTTTGTTGTTTAGACGCATTCTGCCTTCACCGTCCTCTCTGTTCCTGTGTTTTTCTAATTTTGCCCTTTCTGAAGAGTGAGGATGAGGAGCACGACGCTAAGGAGAAGCGGAGGGGGCTAAGTCATGACGCGGCAGTTCAGTGTGTGTCTTCACCTCTACCGCTCTGGTATATCTCTGGGCCTGTTTCTTAACCTCTCGTGGTCTCGTTGTCCTCGTTCCGATAATCTCTGAGGCTGTATTTCAGTCTCATCTGTGATTATGGCAAAGAAACAAATAGGTCGAACCGTATAACCAAGCAGGTGTCTCAAACCCAACAGACACGAACTCCCCATTTTCCACCCCAAACCCAGCCCGTCGTGCCCTCATCCCAGCGAATGGAACCGTCTTCCACGAAGTTGCCTGTGCTGAGACCAGAGATGCTTCCTAGAATATCCTTGCCCTTCCCAACATCTGTGCCATCCTCACGACCTACAGATACCTCTTCAATCTTCTTCCTTCTGTGAAACCCCCTGTCACAGCCTAACTATTTCAGCCACCCATTGCGATATCAGGTCACCGTCTTATTACAGTGGCCTTCTTACTGGTCTCCCTATCAGACCACCCGGAATTGTTGTTAATAGTACGGACTTCTGATCATTTGCCATCGAAGCAATTCAATGGCTCCGCAGAGTCTGTTGCATGGTCTAAAGTCCACAGCACGGCATTACGAGGCGCTTTGTGATCTAATTTTGTCTTCACTTACATGGGTGGGCTGTTACCGCTCGATGCCTATACTCTGTGCTCCAAAATGTAACTCCTTGCGCCTCCTCAGACAACACATTTTCTCTCCTGCACCTGGCCCTTCAGACTTCAAACCCTCAGTCCCAGCACGGTGCTCTCCCACGCTTCTGCCACTGGCAAACTCCTGCTAGAACTTTGAGTGTCTGCCCAAACATCACCAGCTGTCCAGAGCCCTGCCTTACTCTCGGCAAGCCCAGGCGTTCCTTCACGCGTTCCCACCGTGTGCGCGCACGTCTTTTACGGCACGCGTCGTCTGTGATCACGGATGTTTGCGTAGCTGCCTCCTCCCCTCTGCACTATGAGAAAGGCTTTTTCTCTTCGGGTATCCCAGTGCCTAGCAGTGCTTGGTGCGTGGTTGGTGCTCTGCTAAAGAAGTGAATGAATGGATGAACAAATGGACAAACGAACGGATAGATGAATTTGGCCTGAAAGTTCAGCCATTCTCCTTAGAGAAAAACAATGACAAAAATTGGGCAATTTTATTTATCTTCTGGAATCGGGATTAAATCTGCTAACAAATGTGGATTCCTCCTGTGCTGCCTGACACATTGTAGGCACTAAAGAAAAAATGCGATTTCCCTTTCTCTTTCTTTCCGAATTGGTCCCTTATTCGTCTTCTACGCTCATCTAACAGTCTGCAGTTCCCTGTAGCCCAGGATTCGGAGTAGGCACTCTCAGGGTGTGAATCTCAGGTGGGAGGTTAAAGCTTTAAGAAATGGTATTCAAAATAGTTGTCTTCATAGGTGTCGCTCCTTCCTTCTTTGGATTGAAAATCGGATCGTGTTGCTCCACTGTTTAAAATACTTTAACGACTTCCCATTGCTCTCGAAACGTGACCTGCCTTACCGCGGCCCCCAGGGCTCTGTGCTCTACCCCGGCCTGCGTCTCACTGGCTGAGTGTCCCTTTGCCCCAAACTGTGTCTCTTACAGACTAACCTTGTTCAGTTTATTTTAGAAGTCAATTTTCGTCTGGGCTTGTCGTCTTCGTATTGTTTTTTTGTTTTTTGGTTTTTTTTTTTTTTTTGCCCGAAATGCTACCCCAACTATTGTGACCAAATAACTTTTGATGCATCCGCCAGAGCTCAGATAAAAGTTGCATCCTCGTGGAGGCCGTCACAAAGCCCTCCGTGAGATTGCCACCCTTCCTTATCCCTCCTGCCACCGTCTGCGTTCGTGGCGTCTCACCCTTTCCTTTGAAGGCCCTATCGCAGGTGTGGCTATTTGGTTATTTACGTAACTTTTGTTTGTTTGTTTATTACCTGACTGTAAGATTTGTGCAGACCAGGGCCATGGGTGTCTTGTGCATCATTGTATCCTTAAAGCTTAACAGAGTTAATGGCCCCTTGTGGATGCTTAGTGAATAATCGTTGATTGAAGACTCCCTAAGGCAGCAGTTATAATTTCTTTTTTATTCTGCCTACCTCAAAGAAGGTCTGTTTTCCTAGTTTTAAACAATGTACCTTTTGATTTGAATTTGGTTCCTTCAGGCAAAGTATACAGTAAGCACCTGCTGTGCACCAGGCTTCATGCCTGGAGCTGGTGGATACAGCGTTCGTTAAGAGTGCGTGATGGCAGGAGCCCAAGACGTCCAGTGAGTCGTCTTGAACTGCCCCGTTCACTAGCCTGTGACCTGAGCAAGTCTCCTCACCTCTTTGACTGTCAGCTTCGTCCGCTGTAGATCACAATAACTGTTTGCCAAAGCGTTAGCCTCTGCAAGGGCCTTATCAATTATAAAACTCTGCACAAGTTGTAGTTACGATCGAGAATTCGTTCCCACTCCCCAGGGTCTCCCAATCTGGGGAGGGGGTCAGTATGGTCCCTTGTTCCAACTACTCTAACCCAAGGTGGCCTGTGTTCCTTACATTCTGAAAGAATGGAACCTAGGATACTGGCTTTAGGCTTGATCATTTTGATTTTTGTAGAGTGATCTTTTTTTCCTTTCTTTTTCTTTTCTTTATTTCTTCTTCATTCTTTATCTCCCTCTTCTGTCTCTCCTGTCTCTCTCTCTCTCTTTTGTAGTGTTAAGGTCTAAACTTTTCCGGGATAGCTAGGTTTCCTTTCTCTGATTTACCCATGAGGTGTGCTGAGCTGAGCTGAGCTGAGCGTGGAGCAGAGAATCGTAACAGCAGCCGCGGCTGCAGATGTTGAGTTAACCCGGCGAGGAAGCTCTGGCTGTGGGTAGCGTGGACCAGCTGCGCACCCTGCGGCAGGTCCCACCCCTCCCGCCCCCTGGGCCAGTGTCAAGGCAGTAGGGCCCCAGCACAGGTGACCCCATCAGGATCCACCTCCTCACTGAGAATCGCCCTGTCACAAGTTCTGTTACCTCGGTAGCCTCATTTTGTTCTTTGGTCCTTTTATTTAATAGTATTTAATGAGTATCTCCATGAAACCACTACATGCAAAGAATTCTGCTAGGCTCTGTGACAGTTACAAAGTTCTACATAAGACTCGAGTCCATTATTCAAAGACAATAACCATTGCCAGCATTTAAAGGTGACTAATGTGTAGCAGGTGCTATGCATATATTATTTCATTTGGCATATATTATTCTGTTTAATTGTCATAGCAACTCTATTAGGAAAGTGCTATTTTTATCTCATTTGTCTTTGAGGAAACTGAGTTCATGTAACTTGCCCAAGGTCACAGGGCAGTGACCGGCAAAGCCGGAGCTGTCACCTGGGACAACTGTCCAGAGCACGTTTCTGAGCATGTGTCACTTCTGTTCTCTGTCTGCCAAGAAAGAAACGCCTAACGCCTGGTCACAACCCAAGGTGTAAGTGCGTAACTATCGTATGCAGGATCCGAGGCATGCTGAGGAGACACAGAGGGTTACAGGACACGGGGGGAGGGCAGGCAGGGGTGCACAGAGAGGCATTTGGGAGGGGCTGGGTGCCTCTGGGCAGAGGGAAGAGTGGCCGCCCGGAAGACGAGTGGAAGAGAGGTCATCATTCCTAGAGCCCGCGTTGTGGAATGATGGATTGGAAAATGAGGGAGATGGTGGGTGGAGTGTGACTTGCTTCCCAGGTGACAGCCCTTAACCACAGGAACGAACTCTTACGCTAGAGGCAGAGAGACACCCCAGAGGTCCTACGGGACTCTGGCTTCCCAGAAGCAATCTCCTGGAGTAAGAATTTTAGATCCCCAAATGGCGAAGTGGGGATACAACCTGGAAATCGTTTCGGGTTCTGCAGGTGCTCGGCGCTCTGCCGCCCGGTTCTGACGGCCCGCCCTGTCTGCCCGGCACTCACTCTTTTCCCCGCTCTCTCCCACAGCTCTTGCAGGAGGCCACCATGAGCTCTCTCTGGTGCTCAGGGACAGGAGACGTCATCGAGGACTGGTGTCGATGTGACTCCACTGCCTTTGGAGCTGACGGACTCCCCACCTGTGCGCCTCTCCCGCAGCCTGTGTACGCTTCCCTTCCCTGCCCCCTCTTGCACGTCCGCCTCAGTGTCGCCCTGCGAGCAAACGCTGGTGTCTACTCCTTGCAGACCAGTAGGCTGGGTACTGGGGAACAGCAAGAAGAGTATGACAAAGCTCCTTCAGGGAGCTTGCAGTCTACCAGGGGAGGCAGGCATGCAGAGTGCTTTAGTGGAAGAGATGATGCGATAAATGGAACCGGAGACATTTAAAGAAAGTGTGAAGAGGGAGTGGCCAAGTCTGAATTTGGGGCAATGGTGAAGGCTTCATGGAGGAGGTGGCACTTGAACTTCTCCTTGAAGGCAGAGAAAATGGGGCAGCGTAGCTAGAACATAATTGGGGTAAAAGTTCTGTTTCCATGGAAGAACTGAGAGATCTATAATGAGCCTGACCTAGACCAACAACACAGCTACATATTGAACACTTACTGTGTGCTAGGCAGTGTTGAGCAGTTAGATACTGCCCATTTAATACACGAGGAAATGGATTCAAAGGGATTAAAGAAGTTTTCCAAGGTGACAGAGCAGAACATAGAGCCATGGCTAAAAGCCACATTCTTAGCCATTATAGTATGGAGAGGATAAAACTGAGAGATGATTTGGGGTGAGGAGGAAGGAGCAGTGGTGACCGAATGTACGACTTATGCTTTTGTTGGCTACGATGATGAATGGGCCACAGTTGAAAACTAAAACAGCATGAAAGGATGTGGAGGTTTGCGGAGGAGGCCAGTTCCGTTTGGGCTGGCCTGGCAGTTATAGTGGGGAGGTTCTGCAGAGATGTTCGGTGTGCAGACAGGCAGGCTGGAGCTCTGCAAAAAAGTAAACACTAGAGGTAAGAAGAACTCAATCAGCACCAAAGAAATGAGAGCTGCAACCACAGCTATGAGGAAGGATGCTCGGGAACAAGTATCAAGGGGAAGAGCAGAAGGCTGGAGATGACCATTAGGGGGTTGTCTGCATTTGGGGGTAAAGAGGGCGGAGTGCTACAGAGGTGCCTGAGAATGAACATGCCCCATCTCCTTCCCCTCAGGGGAAAACTAAACAGAACTGGCCAAGCTGAAGGCTTGAGACAGGAGCCTCTCTTGGCCTCTAATGTGGCATCGGCCACAAGAGTGAAGTCACAGAAACACCATGTCTGATAAAGAATGACGGTAGGACAAGCTGGAAGAGTGTGACCCCTTTGCTGGTAAGGCAAAGAAAGCCCAAAGCAAGGATCAGGCTCTGCACAGCTGGAGGGTGAGTGAGCAGGAGCAAGAGACTGCAGGAGGAAACCAGCCGCTGGGAGGCTGCCCTCTGGCCTGCTTCACGCGGGTGCAGGTGGGCATTGCAGAGCCAGGACGGAGCAAGAAGGAAACCGAGAAAGAGGAGAAGGCAGTAGTAGGGTGTCATTACAAGCCAAGGTCCTCTCTCGTCTGCGGTCTTCCCTCTCTGTGCAGGTGGTTTCAGATGCTCCAGCCATTGGCTTCTTGCTCCTTATAGTCACGACTTGGGTCTTTTGAGTTAAAAGAGAAGCAAGCTCGCTGTTAATAAAAGTCCTCTCGTTTGGTAGAAAGGAAGCCACTCGAAGAACCTGGTACTGTTAGGCTGGTTCACCGGATAAGAAAACTACCTTTGAAACCTAACACCGAAGCTACCAAACGGTTATCAGTTAGACACAAGGTCTGGTCATTCTGTCCTAGGGCTTGTTTAGTTTCTAAACCTGCGTTTACTAAATGTCATAGCAAAAGATCAAATTGGGCTAAATTTTCATAAACAGGAAATGACCATTAAGGACTTTACTTTTCTTGTCAACTCTGATCTCTTCCTTCAGTGGCAGACCTTAGTTTCTCTTGGAGATAGAAATGCACTCTAGTTTTACACAAATCCACGTAATCATATACAGCGCTGTTTCTCAGAAGAGGCTGAGTTTAGTCCATATTTTCACAGAAATTGAGTTCTCAGAAAGTCTTAAGTCTTCCTTACTTAAGCTTCCTAATGCTTTTTCTTCAAAATAGCACTCTGCATATGACTCTAATTAATGAGTTTGTCAATATCTGCACTGTTTTGAGTCTATTCCATCTTTAATGTCATATGCAAACTATGCACTCCTTCCTAGTAAGCCGCTTGCAGAGGAGCATGTGGTTTGTATTATTTTCCCACTAGTTGAATTCCTTACTATTGCTCCCATAGCCTCCAGTAATGTCTCGCTGAAGTTCTTATCACATTTTATTCTAACTCATATGTGTAATTACGTATTTCTGTTGCCCACTGAGCTCCAGAGGAGAAGGGGCTGGGTTGGACTTGTGCGCCAGTGCAGCCCCAGCACCGAGCACGTCCTTACAGGTGGTGGGTGCTTCATCGATGTATGTGGAACTGAAATTGAAGTTTGCAGATGGTTTGGTATGGTTCACTCACAGGATCTTGCCCAGTGATTCTGTGAGCCGAGTGGAGGGAAGGAAGGCCAGGATTAGGGGTGGTCACGAGATACGGGAACCAAGGACGAGGTGAATGGCAGGGTGCTCATCGGGGAGGGAGGCTGGAGTGATCAGGAACTGGGAAAACTCCCAGAATCCAGTGGTCTAGGAAGAAACAGAGAATTGGAAGCAGGAGGGAAACCTGAGACACATACAAGAAGTCGGAACAAGGCAGTGAATTGAAACCACTTGGACAGTTAGGCGATCCAGACCAGTGAATGTCAACAATAATTATTAAGTTTATACAAGGTACGAAGAGCCTTGAGGTGGCCAGGCGAGACAGCGGTCGAAACGGACAACTTGCAAAGAATGAGGAGACGATGAATTGGGAAAAGCAAGCAAAAACTGGAATCAGGGACCGGGGTATTCATAGACACCCCAGAGCAGAGACAGAAACTGAAATCAGAACCTGAGTGAGCAGGCGCTGACATCACCCCATGGAGAACTCGATTGTGGTCAACTTTTTCTTGCCCAGGGAAGCCCCCTAGGAGCATTACTTCCAAAACGAGCCTGTTCCAAGGCCCAGCCAGCACATGGCCCAGGGCAAGTACACGTTAGTACCCACAGCAAGAGCGGAGGCCGGGGTGCCCGCCCCACCACCGCCAGTAGGGCAGATCCTGATAACGTTACAGAAGCTAAACTCACTGTGGTCTTGCCAGTGCGAGGTTCTGCTGGACACCACTGTAAAGAGGTCTTATATGGGAATTACACAGACATTCTCTATTTTTCAAGAGGAAAGCCAGAAATTATAATATTTTCAAGCTATATAAAGTAATACTACCCCCAAAGCCCCCTCCTCTGACCCATGTAACATGCAGACATTCATTCATCTTTGCTCACCTACTTGTTTATTTATTTACCAATATTAGCTGAGTTGCTAATGTGGAACAGGCACTCGATGCATAAAACACAGACCTCAGAGGTCCTCAAGACCTTCCTCCCTAGCGAGCGAGACCGTCCCTGAAGGAGATCATTTTTGTAGCTGGTTAAGAGAGAAGCGTTTACGATGTAACACTGGAGAAGGTGGCCAGTGGCTGGGTCCTCAGTTTCACGTCCTTTCTGTCTGCCACAGCCTGCGACTCTCCACGGTTTACGAGCCCAGCAGCACCCTCGTGGTCCTGGAATGGGAACACTCGGAGCCGCCGATCGGGGTGCAGATTGTAGATTACCTCCTCCGCCAGGAGAAAGTCACGGACAGGATGGACCACTCCAAAGTGGAGACAGGTGAGCATCCTCTACTTCACGGGCTAGCCTTGGTCCAAGGTGGTAAAAAGGAAACAGAAGGCAAATGCACTGCCTCGTGGCTTTGCCCCAGGTCCCCAGTATCACAGGGCAGTGCAGGAGGAGCAGGGAGAAAGAGACGCTGTTGTCTCTTCCAAGAAGCAACCATCTTGTCTGTTTACGAGTTTTTGCACGGCGAGCAACTGCGCAAAGTCTTGTTTTGATTTTGCTTTTCTTTTTGTTTATAAAAGAGGTGTCCGTTTCATTGCCTGTAGGCACACTCACCAAGAAACAACAATACAGCACGCTAGTTATCCTAGCCCACATTTAGGAAACAATTCTCTGCTAACCACTGCCATGATTACAGAAAAAAAAAAATTCCTTTGCTAATAACCCCCCTCCAGGCAAAAGCATGTGCCAACAGATGCCTCGCCCCACGTCTTGTCCTAGAGCAAACTGCTTTTGTCAGGTCCAGCTAGAAGAGGGGAACTTTAAAAGGGAGGAGACACCCCGTGAAAAATGTTCCGTGTTTTAGTATCTCACTGTCTACACATAGGAAATGTCAGCATAAATAATTCCTAAAAGTCACACAAGAGATGTGGTCGGCAGCAGAATGGCGGCATCCACAACCTGATTCAAGGCAAATAGCTTCTGGTGAACCTGTCACTGAGGCTTGGGGGCATATGCAGCTGCCTTCAGGCATAGAGAGCTGCCTACTCCTCCAGAGTCCCTTTCTCTGTGTGCACAGGTATGGCTAAGGTATGGCAATGACCACTGTTCTCTGTCCCTGCCAAACACTTTATGAAAGAGCTCACAGATGTGGTACGTGCATCTTGCCTTAGTTGTGTCTGAACTAACTCTAGATAAATGGCTCTAAATTGATTGGTTAAATATGAAACAGCCAGAAAAGACCATCCCCTCTAGGTCTCCTTTCTCTACCAGGAATTTGAGAAGATTGGGGACCAAGCGATTTTAATGTTTAGTTCCGTCGAGTTGATTCCATCTCCTCATTGCTTGGCCACTACTGTTTCTCACACCTTTTCCATCCCTTCCCCTCTGGGCAGAAACGGTGCTGAGCTTTGTGGATGACATCATCTCTGGAGCAAAGGCCCCTTGTGCCATGCCATCTCAGGTGCCAGACAAGCAGCTCACCACCATCTCTCTGATCATACGATGCCTAGAGCCCGACACCATTTACATGTGAGTAACACAACGCTCATCGGGCTAGTTGCTCCTTTCCCTCCGAGTCCCAGGGCTTCGCCCTGGTTTCTTGTTGCTACTCGAGTTCCCTTAGAGATCTGGTAAAAGATGTTGCGTCTCCGAGGTCTCATCTCAACTGGCGTTATAAAGAAACTTCTTGAGTGTGCAGGCACAGGAGTGGGGAGGATCTTGAAAGATGAAACTGTCCTGTCCCTCAAGGAGTTTGCAACCTAGAGGGAAACAAAAAAACTAACTTTAACATAGGCAGAATGAAATACATATTAGATAGGAGAGCAAGGAGCATTTGTAGAAGAGAAAAGAAAGAAGTAATTAATTCCAACTAGAGTGGGTGTCATCTGAACTGGGTCGTGTAGAATTTCAGTAGCAGAGTAATGTTGGAAAAGGTGCGTCAGGCTCAGGAGGAAGCACAGGCAAAAGCGAAGAAGCAGGAGGGTAAGTAGCAAATAGTCCAGCAGGGCTGAAGCAGGCGGTGAGCAAAGGCAAAAGGAAGAAAGCGAGACTGGGAAAATAGCGTGAACGTTGAAATTCAGAGACTATTAATTTTTTTTTTTTTTTTTGAGGGCAGGAGTAGAATACCAAGAACTCTGCTTTAGAGAGCTAACTCCAGTGGCATTGAAATAATTTATAGAGGCTAGATATGGTCAGCGTTTTTCTGCAAAGAAAATACAGTGAACTGTATCATGGCACTTGGAACAGCCCTATTCTGTCTGTGAATTCTTCCCCATCTCTCCCTGTGCGCTGGGAACCCTCGTGAAATAGTTGTGAGGCAGAGACATAAAAGATGCCGAAGGAGGAGAGATAGTGATAGAATCTAAGCCATGACGGCAAAATCTGGGCGCTAAGGCGGAATTCAGAGTGATGTAGTTCTGGGACCTTTTGACTCCGTCGGCATGGAAAACATTTAACAGTTTACAGATGAGGTCACGAGAATAGAGTCAAGGTTTCCGGACTAAATCATTTCCATTTCCAAAGTTAAAGAGTTCAAAGGTGAAAAGCACGAGGAATTTGAGTGGCACCCATTGCAAGATGAACGTGGGGGCTGAGGCTGAACATCTTCAACACAGAAATGAGATTAACTATGGGCCACGCACGGTGAAAGTAAAATGCACAAGACAAGTGACGTTCTGGAGGATCTGGACGGTTTATACAGACAGAGTTGACGATACCGAGACCATGGACGTCCGCCTACTTTTTGGGCAATGCCACCAATGCCATGACCCTCATTAGCTCTCTTGCCGTCGGGCTGCCGTGGCCCTTCGTGGGGAGGGAGAGGCTTTGGGCGTGCAGACCGCTCGCCCCGCTGCAGGACGTCTCACGCTCAGAGAAGCTTGAATTGCTGTTTATAATGAGGGCTCAGCAATCCGTAAGCTGTGACTAAGTCACAACCGGTGTCGCAATGAGGAAGCTCAGTTTCCTTGTGCGAGGGCCTGGCGTGGTTGTTAGGAGTGCCCGCCGTTACCGCCCCGGCACCCTCCTCATACCGGCCTGATGTGGCTCCGTTTCTTATCAAAGACTGAGGCCAACACCTTCTTCCACCCCTGCTGTCCTTGATCTTCCAGCGTCGCCCCGCCATGTCTTGTAAAACGAGAACTTTCTGTCCATGCTGAGTATTGGAGACGCTGGGAGGGCGCAGGCGGAGGGAGAAGCGGCCATGCCCGCCAGAGGGCGCTGCAGACCGCGGGACGCGGCCGCGCGGGGCCGGTGCGGGAGCCCGGCCTGGCAGAGGGCTCCGGACTGAGAGCCGAGCATGCGGCCCGGCCTGCGGTTGTTTCCAGCCACCAGGCGACTGTGCGCAAGGCACGTTTGCTGCAGCTAAGCTCTCTCACCGTGAGCCGGGAGGGAGGCGGGCTGTGTTCACTGAGGACTGCGTGGACGCTTCCTCTGGTGTCCCTGAGCACCCCCGCTCCGTGAGATCAGGCGACAGTCGAGGGGACGGCGGTTCAGCAACATGAGCTACTTCTGCAGCATCACACAGCTGCTGGTTTGGGGTGTCCGCTCACAGGCCGCTCCAGACTCCTGTGGGGACCGGGCAGCTGGTCCCATCACCTCGCGTGGCAGTGCCCGGCTGGCCCAGCCCGAGACCCGCAGAGCCGCCTGCCTTTGTCCTGTGACCGCACTGCTCTGACGGGCCTGGCACAGGAACGGTCTAGAGCCCCCCGCTGGGAGGGATCTGAAAGCGTGTCTGGTCCGACATCTTCATCCTACAGATGAGGAAACTGAGGCCAGAGTGGGGAGGTGACCCGCCAGCTTTGCAGCCCGCTGCCCCTCAGCGCAGCCGCTGTCTCTGGCACTGACAGCAGACAGGTGGCTCAGGGACAGGGATCGGCAGAGACCTCCACTCCTGGGGGGAGGCGGGATGGCAGCAGACAGGAGGTCTGAGGGTCTCCCAGGTGCCTCGAGGGCCGGGTCTTGGAGCCCGGACCCTGGAGCTGAGCCGGCTGTGTCGCTGCACAGGCACCGGGCCGGGCAGGGCTGTCACCGAGTCTCCAGCCACGGGCAGGACAGTCCCAGGCTGCAGCGGTGGGAGGAGCCCAGCGGCTCCGACAAGGCAGTGGATGTCCCTGCACAGCAGCCCTGTGAACGGGGCGCAGGGCTTACCTCGTCCGCCCGGCAACCCCCGCTAACCCTCTGACCGTCCCCGGGGGCTCAATGGCGGCAACAGCAACGCTCACAATGAACGGAGAAGGCCTTCCCCAAGTGACCGCAGGTGGCATTTCCGCGTGAAACCGTGTGAAGTGCTCTGGGGGCCTTCACGGGGAATGAACCAGCTGCTCTTCCAGGGCCGGAGCCGGCACCACGGAGCAGTGGCTCTTGGGCCAAGCCCCGGCCCATTCAGAAGGTTGTGGGAGCACGTCCTTTCATAATACCTGCTTTGCACTAAAAATAAAACATGCTATTAAAAATGGTAAGAGCTCAGGAGCCTAGATTTTGCACTAATTGCCCCATTAGGGGCATGTGAGAATTAACATGACCACAGGCATGTTTGGCCCAGCTCGGGGACAAACAGTTTAGCTGGAACTTACAGCAAGACAGGCCACAAAGCAGAGCTGGGACAGGCTTGGGGTGGGTTGGGGACTGACTGAGAGAGAGGGTTCATCTGACAACCAACTTGGTACCTGAGATGCAGGAAATTTCCCACATAGTCCAGGGAAACGGCTAGAAATTAAAGGTCCAGGATTAAATAATGGCGGGCTACAAAAGGTGGCTGGAACCCAGCCATAGACAGTGTAGGGCAGGTGACCCTTTAACGTGCTGGCAGGCGGCATCAGGTGGCCTGTCTGTGGGTAGCCAGACTGCAGCCCTGACCTGCCTTCCAAGGCCTTGCACAGGGCTCTGGGAGTCCGACAGGGAAAGCCAGAGCAGGGCGGGGCACACGGGGGCCAGGGCAACCCGACAGGCCGGGTCTCGGCAGCCGAAAGCAGGCTGGGCTCAGACGCGGGGAGTCACCTGCGCAGCCTGGGGGCAGGCACTGAAGGAAGAGGGGGAGCCATCTGTGGGGACCAGGGCACAGGGCCAGGACGACGCTGGCCCTAGCGCGTCGGCCTGGGGGAGAACGGGCTTCGCATCTCCTGCCTCTGGTGAGAGCTGACTGCTGGAACCAGGCTCGGGGCAGACTCTGCCAGAAAGACCGAGAGACACCCCTCTAGGCAGGAGATTGGGGCCCTATTGTCGGGATTCTGGCGAGAGAAGGGGCTCACCCAGGCCGCTAGAGGACAGTCCTACTGAGGTTTGTATGACATTGTAAGTCTTCAGGCTTTCTCACCTCCTCCTAACTGGGGGGGACACAGGTGTGAGGAGGAACTTTGTCCCCTGTGGGAATTGGACCATCAGGTGCACGTCTGAAGTCTGCCCTGTGGCACCTCTGGGCCCGTCCCTGAGGGCTTCGGCTCAGGTGGCTTCGGGCAGGTGAGCAGAGGAGGAAGTGGCACCTGACCTGAGACTGCATTATGGGATTGGACTCAGAAACAGAGCTGTGTGGACACTGGGCTGATGGGATGCATGAGAGGTTTGCTGGCCTCAGGCACAGTTCTAGAAACAGCACCAAGAAGCTGATGAGGTAGGCGGGGCCAGATGATGGGAGGTTCCATGGCCGCCATTGCTAGGGGTCCAGGCTGCCACTGGGAAGCCGTGTGGGGCTGGGTGCCAGGGGCCAGCTCAAACCTCAGAGGAGGGGCAGGCTGGGGAGAGCACTGTGGCGGGATCCTGGGTTTCGGAGCGGGGTCGGGGCTCGCGGCGGGCGACTGGTGGGAGGGGTTGAATCGCCTTGCGCAGGTAGGAGGGGAGGCTGAGCACCTGGCCCCGGCCCCACAGCAGGGAGGCCGGGGGAGTCCTGCGGAGTCCGGCAGGTGCCGTGCGGCCTGCCGTCCTGAGCCTGGGCTGCTCATCGCATTCCGCGTCCTCAGGGCTCCTGGCGGGATGGAGCCGGCCTGGGTGAGGCCCCCGTGAGTCCAGCGTGAGGATCTGGGGAGGCAAGAGGGAGGACAAATGCCACATTGGGGTGCACAGGCTCTCACGCTGGCCATTCTCCGGTGTCACTGCGAGGGGGGGAGTGGTGGAGCGAGGTTGTCTCTTCTCTGTTGAGAGAAACACACATTTCTTGACAGAATCATTAGGCAATTTCTATTTCTTTTCTATTTCACAAGTCCACCTGTTTCAAGCCCAGCTGACATTTGCCTGGGCCACTCTGTCTTGGGGCATCTCCCTCCCTTTCGCCTCTCTTCCTCCCTGTGACCCCGCCAAGAGGAAAGAAAATCCATGTTTGCCAATAACGCAGCCTCCTGCGGCCGCACAGCAGGAAGGAAAGCAACAGGAAAGGAGCCTTAATGATTTCCTCTAGGCTGACGGCTGGTTAGCAGAGCCCTAGACACACGGACACCAGAGCCGATGGCCACGGCTGTGCTCAGATTCCCCTGAGCAGCGTTCCCCGGGTTTCTTTTTTTCTTTTCCTTGCGGTTCCTTACCCCAGGGGGGTTTTCCCTTTCGGCTTTTGGGGGCCGGTTTTCCGTCTTTTTCTTGGGGGGGTTTTTGGATTCCTTCTTTCCCTTGGTTGGGGGCCCGGGGTTTTCCCTTTTGGATTCTTGTTTTGCGTTGGTTGTTTTTTCGTTGGGCACGTGAGCTGCGTGTAAGAGATGAAGCGTCTGGCCACAGGCAAGCCAAGAGACCCTCCGCCAGGGCTGTCTTGCATCTCACTTTAAAGAAGGAAATCGTCCTCTGTCCTTTGCACAGAGGTGTGGACAGAACAGAAGGGAACTAATGTGATTTATGCGGTGTCATGAATCATATCATGTTCCAGGTCTTCCTCTGCGTTGTTATCTCGTTTCATCCTCACGATGGCTTACAAGCAGTCTTACTGTCCTCTCATCTCCGTCTAACAGATAAGAGAAAATAAAGCTCCCGGGAGTTAACTGTAACTCCACATGGCTTCAGACCCAAGTTCTGACCATCTGTTTCCAAAGATATGTACTCTTTCCCTGAGCTCAGTGGTCGCCAAATTTGAACTGGCCTCAGCATCCCCCGAAGGCTTGGTACGGCACGGAGTTCTGGTCCCCATCCCTGGAATTTCTGATTCATTAGGTCTGGGGTGGGGCCTGAGAACTGTCACTGCTCCCAAGTCCCCGGGTGATGCTGGTGCTGTGGTCTGGGGGCTCCACTTGCAGAGCCAGTGTCCCATGCCCTGGTGCTTTCTGTCACGTGATACACCCAAGACAGCGAGTCACAGCCCTAGACCCACAGGAAGCGTGAGAGCTCGAGGCTGCGTGCTTTCTGCCACGCTCTTCCGTAACCACGCCCTTCCCTCTCCGGCCAGGTTCACGCTGTGGGGGGTGGACAGCACAGGACGGCGCTCCAGGCCGAGCGATGTGATCGTGAAGACACCTTGCCCCGTGGTGGATGACGTCAAAGCCCAAGGTAAGAGACACCGAGGTTAGCAGAGCCCAGAAGGGGTGCCCAGGGCCCCCTTGCTGTGAGGAAAGAGAGACCGAGGGGTCAAATGGAACAGCCTGCAGTTCGGTGGGGAAGGGGACGGATTCGAGGCCCCGTATAGAAGCACTGCCTTTCCGGAAGTCCGTCCCAGCCTCCGCCCTCCCCACCGCATCCCATCACTCCTCACAGTCCGTAAGTCAGGGAGCCGGGGAGACCCCTAGCCCCCACGGCCATACGCTAGGTGCTTCGTATGTAGTGAACTCCCCGTGACCTCCGCCCTCAGCATACTGATGGGGTCACTTACTCCATTGGCTTTTGTGTCTGAGAGATTATTTTGAATTAAAGCATAGCAAGGCTGCAGATTTGAAATTAATTGATGGACCACTCCCTCCCTAGCAAGGATGCGTCATAATCTTCAATTCTGTATTTTGGAGTCACTGTGGGCCAGTTCTTTGGTAAAGAATTGTCCTCTTTGGTACCAGCCCCTCCGCCCCCGCCAGGATTGGTCCTTGCTAATGGGGAAGAGCGTGTCCTCAGGCGACATCCGCTGCTCAGCGGCTCCGCTCGTCCTCGCAACACTCCTTGGCTGGTCTGGAGGTCGTCCCCTCATCTAAGGTTTTTACATCCCGTCCACAGCCGGAAGTTTCCCATCGTGGTCCCCGCTTCTGCAGGGCTCCAGCACTAGTTAAAGTGGTGGATCAACCGCTAACCTGGTGGACTTGAGCTGATCACATTTGCATGTGAACAGAGACATTGACGGTGCTGGAAGTTTAGGCTGTGCTGGTTTCGCTGAGAGAAATATTGTGGCCAAACTGCTCTGCTGACACCCCTCGAATCACCTTATGTGGCTCTGGAATCCAGTCGGATCGGAGTGACCAGGAGGGACGTAATCCCAGAATGTTCAAGGGGTGACACCACGATGATGCAAAGCCACAGGGGAAGAGTGAGCCGGACCTACTTTAATTCAAACCACTGATCTTGTGGCGCCGTGCAACTTCTGAGAGGATTGTCACACTTACTCTGCATGGTTATTTTCAACACGACATCTGATCTTATCAGGGGCCCTTCTTAAAACTTTAACAGATTGCTATTCCTCTCGTGACAAAAATACTTAACAGACACATTAGGAAATAAATGGAGTGGCCCCTGCCCACTTCTCTAGAACCTTCTTGCCAACTCCCCTGGTTGGTCTCTGCATTCCAGCCTCACTGCCTTCCTTGTGCCTCCAACACCATTATCAGTTCTACCACGGGGCCTTTGCACATGTCGGCCCCCTCACCTAGAATGCTCTCATCCCTTTCAACTAATTACCTCCTTGCAATCTGAAGATCTCAGATCAAATGTCCCTTCCTCAGGACAGAAGGGGGCGGGAGCCATTGTTAGGTGTACTCATAGCATCATGTTTCTTTCCTTCAGAACATTCATCTCAGTTTGTTATTGTAATGATGTGTTCTGTGTCTGCCTACCTCACGGGACAGTGAGCTCCGTGAGACTGGGGGCCAGTCTCTTTTGCCCACTACTCCGTCCCTCACACCTGGACGGCAGCACGGCTGACTGACCGGTTACAGAAGAACCTCGCCTCTGGAGTCAGCAGCCCACATCCAAACTCCTGCTTCACCATCGAATTGCTTGATCTTGAGCAGGTTACTTCACCCTTGCCTCAGTTTATTCATCTGTTAAATGGAGGGGTACTCTAGCTAATAAGGTTCTAGCAAGATTTAAATGAGTTAATCGATTTAAAATAGTAGGAAAAAAAACAGTGCCTGGCACATAGTAAGTGCTCAGTAAATGTTACCTACCATTATTATCAATAACCAAGCATTGATCTTGCCCTCTAATAGGAATTTAGTAAGTATTTACTGAATCAATAGCACATCACACCCATTTTACAGATGCAGAAACTGAGATTCAGAGTTCAATAAGGAAGGCGACCAAGATCACCAAGCATGTTACAGAACCAGCACTCATGCTCATTATATGACCCCATTCCCATTCTGTCCCCATTCTAATGTTACCATTAGATATTTAGGGGGTTATTATGCAAAAGACTGAAAGTATTTCCTTTGTCTCTGAATACTGATGAAGAAGGAAAGGCTTACATTTTAAAAGAGTGCTCAAGTTAGATACAAAAAATTCTCCCTTTCAAGCTGTTAGTGTCTGCCGGGACGTTACAACAGAGTGGAGACCTTTATGGGGGGAACTCACGCGCTTCACTCTGGAGAGAGCGCTGCTGGCTACAGCTTATAGGGTCTGAACTGAACGACTTTCGAAGTTCTCTGCAGTTGCTGGTGGATGACAGCGGTCTGGGGTCGAAAACTCCCAGATGAGAGACTGGAGAAGACCCTGTTTCCTCATCTGCTGATTCCTTACTCTGAGCCAGAGAGGAGCAGGCGATGAGAAGGCGCGTCCGTTATGTCTGTGTGGGAGAGTTTGCTGCCGTCCTTGCAGGGGGCAGCAGCCACCTTGGACTTACTAGTCAGGCAGGTGGATGTCCCACCACCTGATTAGCAGGTGGAAGGGATACAGCATGATGCTGCCTGCAGGGTGGATGTGTGGAAAGCAGCTCTAGAAACAAGAGTAGCCAAGGCAGGGGAGTTTGCCAGAGACAGACCACTACTCGGTTTTCTGTCGGGCTCGTTTGGGTCACTCTAGTCCCACACAGACTGTATCAAGATGTGCTCTGCCTGCTTGTGCCTGGGGAGAGTTTCTGACATCCCCATGGACCATCTGGGAGCCCAAGAGCCAAATTAGTGCAGAGAGAATGCGGTAACACTCCAGGGCCTGTGAGCCTGCAGCCGGGAAGGTGTCCTGCACAGCTAAATCCGGAAATTAATGAGCTGGACTAATTGAGGGTATCCTTGCAAATTAATACCGTCCTAGCAGTTCTGCTAAAAAGCCATATGCTTTGCCTTTCTCAAGCCCAGATGGCGATCTTAAATATGATCATGACGTGCTCAGGTCTGATGTAAATCTAATAACAAGTGGGAATTACCTTTTCAGTGACCCAGAGCATGGCTTCAGCTCCTTATCATCTACTGGAAGCCAGACCTTTATATGAACGTTCTTCCAAAGCTAGATAGTTTCGGTGAGGGATTTCACCACATTGTGACAGTAAAGCCACTGTGGAAATAAGGTTCTACCCATGTTTTGGGGAGACAGAGCAGCCTCGCCCCAGCAGGTGCAAGCCTGAGTCAGGGCAACCACCAGCCCTGATGGCGGGGCTCCGGGTAGGGGCGTGGCGTGCTGAGGGTTCTTCCTGAAGCTTCCTTAAGGCAGGGCTGGTTCCCACGCACCCTCCCTTCCTGCTGCCAGACGTAAACATTCCTCCCCTCCTTTGCGTGCTGCTTCCACAGGCTTTTATCCAGCTCGGCTGTTACACGCTAAAGAAACAAAACGAATTAGACTAAAAACCTGTTTTCGAGACGTTTACAATCAGATTTCATGAATTTATTAATTCCTCCAACAAATATTAAGCCTTTACTGCATACCTCTCCTAGGCATTAGGAGCAAACCCCCTGCCTCGTGGAGACACCAACAATAAAAATAGTGAAATACAGAATATTTCAGATGGTGATACACGTTACGGAGATAAATAAACAGGGATACGGGATGGGAGGTGCAGAAGGTGGAATTTTAACCAGAGTGGGAGGGGAAGAAGATGAAAGGAGAAGCCACACAGGCATCTGGGGGCAGATGCTTCCGGACAGAGGAGCAGAGCAGAGATTCTTGGTGTGTTTGAGGAAGACGAAGGGGGCAGGGCGGGAGGCGGACTCCCCCGGGTTGGGATGGAGGCCCTGGAGAACTGCGTGCGGGGCAGTGGCTTGGGGGACTTGGCGTTCTGCAGACCGCTCTGCCCGCCGTGTTGAGAGCAGACGCCAAACAGGGTCTAAGGCGGGAGTCGGGGAGACAGTTAGAAGGTCGTGGTGACGCAGAGGACAGATGCTGCTGCTTTAGACTTGCATGGTGGTGGCAGCGGCGATGAGAAGTGGCCGATTCTGAATTATTTTGACGGTAGCACCAGAAGGATCTGCTGTGGCTTGGATGCGAAGTGCGCGAGGAAGAAGAGTCGGGCCAGTCTCGCCGTGGGTGGCGGACAGCGCTGTGTAGAGGGACGGACAGGACGCTCCGGGACACGAGCCAGCTCGCCCGAGGCCTGGGTGGGCGGACGAGAGTTGCGGGGGGGACAGGCTCGGGGAGAGCGCTGGCAAGGGCCCTGTGGCTTAGGGCAGGTGGAGAAGGGGGCAGAGACAGGGCCGATGCCTGCGGAGAACGCGGCGGCCGCAGGACCCGCATGTCCCTCGTGGGAGAACAGAGTGAACGGCAGCAGTGAGAAGCACAGAGCTGCGAAAGGAGGCCGTGTCCGTAGGATGTGACATTGAGGTTTACAGATTTGAAGGTAGAGCAATTATCCACCTTTGGGAACTTGAGTCTGAGTTTAAATCTAAGGATTTTTTTTTCAGAATATTGCAGGGGTGCAAATGCTTTGGTGACATAAATTGCCTCTGCACTGCCTGAGTCAGAGCTACAAGTGTGCCCAGCCCCAGACAGCGTGCCCCCACCCAGTAGGAGTGAATGATGATCAGATCTGAGGGTGATGATTGGCTTTTGCTGGTTAGAGGTCACTTTTGCCCCTGGAGTCACTCCTCTCATTTAGTCAGACTATGCTCCCCAGTTCCTTGGGCTCGGGTGTTTCAGTCTCTCTCCTTAGTCTTGGTCTGTCTGTCTGCCTCTGTCTCTGTCCCTCTCTCAGCCTTGGGGGACAGCATGCTTTAGGAAAGAACTGGTAACAATAAAACAATAATATCTACTATTGTCCTACTCTCCACCTCACCCGCCTTATTGCAGACCCTCTGGCCTTGCGCTGCCCAGTGGAGCCCGGGGGCCTCTCTCTGTGCCTGCATGTCCCCTCCCTGCCTGGCCTTGCCCGGGTACCCGCAGCTCAGCCCCTCCCCTCTGCATGTGGGTTGTCTACTTTCCAACGACACCTGCTGTGACCACTGCACCCCCCTTGGCCCTCCCAAACTTCCTTCTCCTGTTTTATTTCCCCCGCTTTCTAACACACTGTATTTTACTTATTCATTATGTTTATTGCTTCCCTGACTGTCTCCCACCACTACCTAAACTGTCAGTGCTGTAAGGATGAGGATTTGTGTCAGATTCTCTCACTGATGTAGCCCAAGTGCCGAGAAAAATATCAGGCACATAGTGAGCACTTTGAAAATGTTTTACTGAATGAATGAATAACTGTGAGCTTACTATGTCTAGACATTGTGCTAAAGAAAAGTTTGACATTGAATATCACTTTTAGTCTCACAATAATTGTGGAGGCTGTATATTATTAACTGTCATTGAACCGACAGGGAAACTAACTTCCAGAGAGGTTAAGTAACTTGTCCAAGGCCACACAGCTAGTGTAGTGGAATCCAACTCTGTATGATGCCCTGGTGCCTGTTCTTAACCACATCCCTGGGGCCGAGAGCCTCAGTCCCAGCCCTATTCATTTATCCTGCTGCCTGCGAGATCTCAGTTCCTTGCTAATAACTGAGTTTCGTTTTTTTGTGATGGGGCCATGTAGGCCGACTTCTTGTCGTCTTTTCACCTGCATTTTACCTATTCCTGAACACCATGCATGTTAAAGAGGGAGAAGACAGGACTCTGTCTTGAATGACTCAAGACTTCTGTGAAGCCAAAACTAGGTAAAACTATAACTAAAAATACCCATATTATTATCCACTCTTTGAGTTAGTGGATTTTTGAGATGCTCTGAAGGATAATGAAATGAATTTTGTCCGTGGAGATAGGAGGAGAGAGAAATAGTCCTGCTCTAGGAGCCCGGGGCATAGATCTTCCTGAATATAGCACCCCATTCACTGATGTCGGCTCGTAAGCACACCCAGGAGCTAGACTACCTTGGTTCCGGGAGGTTGGTGGTGGAAGCAGGTCTTACCCCGTGTGCTGCAGGTGATGGGATGCTCCGCCTTCTCCAGCTGCGTGTGGCTGCTGTGTTATGGGAACGGTAAATATGTCAGAAAACGCCTTCCCAGCCATCCCTGTTGCTCAGCAAGGACTGTCACAACCAGGGCCTGGGGCCTGGGCCACTCTTTCCCATTAAAATAAGATCAGATTGGCATCCGTGAAGGGTGGGAGAGGAAGCCCAAACCCCCTATCTAAGCTTTGGTTTGCTCACCAACATTTTCCTGGTCATTCTTCTCTTAGCAAGCACTCCCTGCCTCCCAGCAAACACAACAGCCCTTTGAACTGTCCCTTGGCTTCTGTTATCTCAACTCCAGAAATGACAGATTCCTCGCACACCTACGGGGACTCCCTCTTATTTGGCATCTGTGGCCGATCAGAGCGATGTCCTCTACTAGAGGTAGTCGCCCCAGATCTGCCATCCCCACGACGCTGCCTCCTGTACCTTAAATTTGTTACACAATACCAAGTCCTGAGCATCGGTGCAAACTAGCAACGTCAGACGGAAGCACTTCTGAATCTTGACTCCAGCCCACATCGGCTGTGCAATTTTGTGCGGGTAACCTGGCCTTTCTCCGAATCTCCTCATTTGCAAAATCAAGGATATTCATATCCATCTTGCAGTGGTGGTACAAGAATTGGAACACACATAAGTAAAGGTCTTGGCTATTGTAAGCCTTCAATAAATACCTGAAGATACCATAGATTTTTACTTTCTAAATCACTGTCTTCTTTATTTCTTGATCCCGTTTTAACAACTGGAGAATTTTAACAACCTGAAAATCTAAATGGATTTCTGAACCAAAATTATGTTTAACGCAGCAAAATGTGCTGGCTACACATTTGGTTGCTAAAGGATTGGTATAACCTGGTATGGAGAAGCATCACTGAGAAATCCTCCCCGCTAAAGCAGATTCATTTTGCTCCCAGAGGCATGAGTTCCCTTCATTCAGCTAACGTTGTTTAATCTACTATGTTGTCTGGCCTGTGCTGTCCACTTAGGACACCGGGGAAGTAAGATCTGTCTCCTATCCTCAGAGGCCACAGGCAAGACAGAAAAATAAGGAAATAATTGTAATGTCTGGACAGGATAAGGGTAGAAATATTATTCATTCCAACCCAGGAAACTCCTACATTGATGACTTTGTCATGACCAGGAGCCCGGAATTTGCTTGGAATTATGACAGGAGTCAAGTTGCATGCCTTTGAGCTAACAGAGGATCTGGTGGGCAAAGTTCTGGCTTTAGAACCTACAGGCTCAGTTTCTTCATCCCCAGAATTCACACTGGGGTCCAAAACAAAGCGTTGCTCTCTAGATCTTAGTTTCCCAGCTGTTTAAGGAGAAAATGTAAATACATCTCCTCTCTCTGAAAGGTTTAAAGAGCAAATGTTTAATGATAAAGTCCTTTGAGCTCCGTAAGGAAAAATGCCAAGGCTATCCAAAATCATTGCCACCTGGCCAAGTCACCAAGTTCAGTCTTTGCAATGCGTGCTTCGGAGGGAGAAATGTCAGAGACGTAAATTAAACTGAGAGGTGACTCACTTGGAACTGCAGAAGGTACTAGGTTCAGTGTCTTGTCCCCGCAGATCTCCATGCTTGCCTTTGTATGTGGTCTAGGTGGTCCTAGCACGAGTTCCATGTTCCCACAGTTGTGGCTTCCCTGGGTTGTCCATGGGACTTGCAAGCACTGCCTCACGGTGCCCGACTTCATCCCCGAGCCGAACGCCTGCTACCTGCTGCCCGGGCTGCCCTGCTGCTCTTGCAGAACCGCTTGCTAGTCAAGCACGTGCAGCCTAGAAGTGCAGGCTTGGTACTGCCTCCTGGGAGCAAACTGGGCCAGTTGCTACTGGGAGCTGGAGATACGATCTTCATTCTTTCCGTCCTGGATGGACCAGTGGAGATCCAGTGACTTCATGCGTCCTGTCCTGCAAACTGTGGCAAGCAGCGTGTCTGCAAGGTGTGGCCGGCTCCTTCACGCACTCTCTCGTCCTGACTCTCCCTCCTTCCTTGCTTCATGCCACTGTATCCTCGCTCCTGCACTTGCCAAGGAAGCATTAACGTATAAGCTTTTGCCTCAGGCTATGTGTTTTTAGGAAACCTGGGTAAAGACAAAGAGCATCGTAACCGAAGTTGACCTTAGAAGCATTCTAGTCAAAGGTTTTCATTTTATAGAATAGAAAACTGAAGCCCAGGGCAGCAGACGTAACGTGAATTATTCAAATCACTAGGTTCGGTGTTCTTCAAGTAACACCATACGCACACACGTAAGTGTACATGTATATGCATATATACACATACATACACATGCACATGCACACGTGCGTATCTATCATATATAGTATATAGTGCACATATATTAATATATATAAAATGTTATTTGCCTTTTCTTCCTTCCTCAGAAATAGCAGACAAGATCTACAATCTCTTCAACGGCTACACCAGTGGGAAGGAGCAGCAGACTGCCTACAACACCCTCCTGGATCTGGGCTCCCCCACCTTGCATCGCGTCCTCTACCACTATAACCAGCACTATGAGAGTTTTGGAGAATTCACCTGGCGGTGTGAGGACGAATTGGGCCCCAGGTAATCCATCAACTGCATTGTCTCTTTTAAAGACTCTGCAGGTTGGTACCTCTTACACCGTAGTGCTGCATCCATGGAGTTGCAGAGACTTCCTGGGTGAGCTTAGGCGCTCAGAGAGTAAGTCCCTGATTTTAGACGGTACAGGCCGTGCAGATTAGTTTTGGACGAGCTCTACCTAAGGAGTGAAGTCGTGAGTGCATTTCCTGAACTCTGAAGAATGTTTGCCCTTGACCTGGCCCACACTCCTCTTGCCACACTGACACAGTGTTCCAAATGCTAAAACTGCAGGAGCCAAAGGCTTAGTCTTGTGAAAGAAAATTAGGAATTTTGTTAAAGAAGTTATCCAAAAATATTTATTGCATATGAACTTTGCCTATGTTATTTGCATCACAAAGACTTATTCTGAGTTGAATTCTACATTCTCTTGAAAGGCAACATGGGAGTAGCCGAAGACCCACTTTGGGTGGGACCCACCTTGGCATCTATCTTGGCCAAAGTTAAGGGGGCACAGTGTTTGCCAGCTTCCCCTCACCCTGAAGCTACAACTTCCTAACACTCAATACCCAGTGTTTTTAGGTTGCACAGACTGGGTAGAGTTCTTGGGAAGTAAGGACTGGGAGGGAGGTGTAGAGATATCACCTTTCTTTTGCTCCACTCATCATCATTGTATCTTGCTGCTTTGAGAAAACAGTCTTCCCTGGAAATACTGAAACTGTTAGGTAGACATGATAAAGAGGATGTTCACGTGGAACGCTGGGACCCATGTGTTCCCAAATTATTTAGGAGCTCATTAAAAAAAAGATACAAATAGGGTAAGGGCTACGAGAATAGGAAAAGGAAAGACAGAGAAAATGAAGGGAAGAGAGAAAGAAGGGTGAGGGGGAAGGAAAGAAGGAAGTGATAAATGAACACTGTAGAATCCTCTGGCATATAAAGAAGTCTCACACGCCAGCAATATGGCGGAATGAAAGTATCACCCAAAAGTCATCCCATCCGTCTGATCTCTGGCCACACGGGAAGGAGACTCAGCCTCAGCCTGTCATGACCTGCAATTACAAACTTTCTTAGAAAACCATTGTTCAGGACATTTTTCCTCTATTTTCTTACTTTTGAAGGAAAGAGGAAAATTAGGGTTATCTTCTGAAATAAAATGATTTCATGTGTAAGATCTGACAGGATCTTTCTACATTCCATAAATCATTTCCTGATGTTTTGAAAGGTTGATAGTTCTTGAGCAAACAGATGCTGCTGCTATGGACCAGAGGGAAATATGTAAGGGACATTTAATTTGTTTTGTCTCAGTTTTGATAAGAAGCAAACCCTGACTTAGAAAGTAGATGTGTGTTAAGAAATGTCCTCTCTGCTCCATACCCTGTCCTTCCTCCTGACGTTGTCATTACTCTCACCTGACATCACCCCATCTCCTTCCTTCCTCCCTGCTCCTCCTCCCTCTCTCTCTCCCTTCCCTTCTATCTTCTGACATTCATTGAGTGTATATGTACAGTTCTTTGTCAGGGAACACAAATGTCACAATTTGAATAGCGCTGACATTGCATATATCATCTCCATTTCTAGGGGCATTTGCTTTTAAAACTTCTCTCTTGTGACTGAAGAGTCAGAAGAAAAATTGGTTAACGAAGTACATGAGCCAGGGGGAGAAATGCGGGTCTTGCTGTAAAGTAAGGCCACTGCTGAGTGTTCGCTCGCTTCCCAAAACTCCCCTCCCAGGGGGCCCTTCCATGTGCAATACTGGTCTTTTGTGCTCATGTATTAGAAAACATTGTGCGGTTTCATTAGCCTGTGGAAAATAACATTTTGCTTTTTAGTGTTATGGATCTCAGGGAGAACCACAGGAAAGGAAAATCCTCCGCCTTGAAATACATCAGCCCACTTGGGGTTAGTGGTGAGAGTGAGTAGGGAAGGGTCTGTGGCCCCAGACTTCCTGAGAGCGAGCAGAGAGGACGTCCTCAGTCCAGCTAAATCCAGTTCCATTAAGACGCGCGGATGCCCCCAGATTGAGCTGAAGGTTGAAAATACTTTGAGAAGAACAACGATGACACTGCTTCTAAGAAGGACGACCACAGCCTCTGAAATGGTCAAGGGTGGTCCCAGATTAATTATTATTTTTTCAAAAAAAGAAAGGTCACTGAAAACAGCAAAAAAAACTCTATGGGCTAATCAAAGTCATTCATTTGGAAGGACGGCTGGGACGTGTTCCTTCGTCCTTTTCTGGAAGCGGATGCCTATGTTGCCTTCACTCTTCCTTCATCCACCCCCTTCCTTCCCCTCCCAAGAATTTGTCAGCAGCTACAGGAGGGGCCACCAAAGTTCTTGTTGATGATGACTTTTGGAAAAACCTGCTTGGCCAAACTGCAGAAACTGATGGGGAAAGTACAGATCATCTGCCCATGACGCTATTTAGTCGGCAGGCGGAGTGTTTGTTTGATTTCCTCCGACCCACCATTGGAGTTGGAGAAAATATGCCTGTGCCTCCAGTGACTTCGCTCCACCCTTAGCCCCTGACTTTGCTGCTGAAGCTCAAACCTTTCTGCCAACAGCATCTCCGCCCTTCCCCCAGCACACCCTCTAGGAACGCAGGAAGGTCATGCCTTGGTGACGCTCATTGCCAGGACAGACGAAGAGGAACAAAATGAACGTGGGTGTTGTTCTTTGAAAGCTCTGTTTAAATGAGTGCATAAACTTCCAGTTTCTCGAAGCAAATGTTGATTAAACTAGAAAAGAGATGGTTCCTCACATGAAATAGCAGCCAATAGATCCTGCACGAGTCGTGTTCGTTGACTTTCTAAGACACTATTTTGCAGCCCCACATGAGCTTGTTCAATGACAGAGTTTTCCTTCTGGAGTCTCTGGTCACTTGGGTGTTTGAAGAATAGGAATGAAATAACCGAGTGAGGGGATCTTGCTCCTTCGCTCATCCCGTGTTCAGAGTCCACACAGTGAGGGCTGAGAACTGGCTCTAGGCAATCCTTATCTAGGACACCATGGGTGGGTGCCAGGCAGCAGGGGCCGCACGGCGTGGCTGTGGTGCCAGCCTGTGCCCCCAGGCTAGATGCCACATGCCCTCACACTCTGTGTTCCCGGCCCGGGGGAATCACTCCTTTCCAGTGTACGTGAACTTGGAGTGTGCTCGCTCTCCTCTCTCTTGGGGGTCTGCAGTGGCCCAGGTGCCCTCTCATCACCTCCTTTTCCCACTCCTTTGATTGGGGCTTCACGGCAATGGCAATGGCCTCCCGACCTCCGGAGGCAGGTGGAGGAATGGAACGTGAGCCCACCTGGAGGTTAGTGAGGTGATGGTGCAACCCAGAGTCTGCAAGAATGAAGCTGTAGCATCGTGAACTGAGGACATCATGGTCCGCACCCTTATTGCACTATAATTACATCAATACAGGTGTACTTGGTCCCTTTCAGTTCAATATATTGGCTGCTTCTACCAGTTCAGAAGTAGCCTTGGAAAGGAAAATACTGCCTGGGCATGGTGGCTCATACCTGTAATCCCAGAACTCTGGGAGGCCAAGGCAGGAGGATCCCTTGATCCCAGGAGTTTAAGACCAGCCTGGGCAACACGGCAAGACCCCACGTCTACAAAAAAGTAAAAGATTAGCCAGGTGTGGTGGCACATGCTTGTAGTCCCAGCTACTCGGGAGGCTGAGGCAGAGGATCGCTTGAGCCTGGGAGTTGGGGGTTGCAGTGAGGCAGTAAGCTGTGATCGTGCCACTGCACTCCAGCCTGGGTGACAGAGTGAGATCCTGCCTCACAAAAAAACAAAAAAGAAAAGGAAAACATTCAGTCAAGCACATTCGTGGTCATTTAATGATAATAAATTACTTTAAAGAAAAATGATTTGATTTGTCTTTCAAGACTGCCAATTTTATGATTTTAAAAAGGTATACATTCCCACTAAAATATTATTTCTCTTCTCTTCTTTAATTTTCCTCACTGCATTTTGTCTCTCTGTTCCTTTTTGGTGCCTGTTCACTTTGCACCTACATCCTGTTCATTCATTCATTCATCCATTCCCTTGACAGATATTTGCGGAGTACTCGCCGTTCTAATTGCGAAAGAAAGAATAGTGAGCAAAAAGGGACCATTCTCTGTCCTCTTGAAGCTTAGAATCTCACACTAATCGTGGCTTACGTGTCCTTCCTGGTCTTCTCCTCTTTCTAACTTAAGTGTCCCCGTGCTTGGTCCACAGGAAAGCGGGCCTCATCCTTTCCCAGCTCGGGGACCTCAGCAGCTGGTGCAACGGACTCCTCCAGGAACCCAAGATCGGCCTGCGCCGCAGCTCGCTCAACTACCTGGGCTGCCGCTACAGCGAGATCAAGCCCTACGGACTGGACTGGGCCGAGCTCAGCCGGGACCTCAGGAAGACGTGCGAGGAGCAGACCCTGAGTGTCCCCTACAACGACTATGGGGACGGCAAGGACATCTAGCACCACGAGGCCCGGGTGCTGCTGCCAAAATGAAGCAGGAGAGAGGAGGGGGATATCTGGGTTGGTTTGCGAATTTTTAATATTTTTTATTGGAACGTTAAAACCTCCATGGCAACGTCGAAACCAGGGGGAAAGTGCGCCTTGCTCCCTGCGGAACTTCTTCGGTGTGATGTTCTCCACCTGCATGACCAGCACACCTGCCGGCCAGCGGCTTCATGAAGCGCCGTATTTTTTTAGAGGATTACTTTGGGTCTATTTTGCCATTAATTTGTTTCATTCATTTTTTTTTCTTTCAAGAAGTTCACCAAAATGCTCAAGACTCTGTCAGGCTTCCCGTGAAAGGTCTATCGGGTTGAGGCACTAGGGTTGAGGTTGCTGACTGAGCTCCTAAGTCCGCTGCAGCTGGGGACAGAGGTGAGGCCAGAAGGTTGTCAGTCCTGCCTCGGGCCCCACCCTCGGGCATTCCTTAGGAAGCACCTCACTCTGGGAGCCTGAGCCTTGTGCACAGAGAAAAGTAATACGGACACTGGGAGAGGCGGCCCCCGTCTGTGCCCGGTGGTTTTTCTCCCAGGACTTCCTCTGTCTAGCTCCATTTCTCACAGGTGAACCCCGCTCCCCTTACAGGCCCCAGTGGGCCTCCTGGGTTTTAGGTCCTCCCCCATTTAAGCTAGGACTGGGATGAAATCCTTCTCTGGCAGACCTCTGCCCTCTCCTCTGAACGACATGATCTTTGACAGGCAACAAGACGCCGCCTGTCAAATGCACCGTTAGAGGAGTCTGCCTGGGAGACTGTCAGCAGTCCACATCCTAGAAAAGAAGTGAAGTTTATTGTTTTAAAGAGCCCCTGTGCCTCCATGGGATGAATGTCTGCGGTCCTCTAGTGTACATCCAAGCGCCTGGATTCCCGTTAGCCCTGCGCCTCGTACCGGGACGGATGGGGCTTGGTAGTTGTCTGATCTGGTCCACAAGGGCTCGATACCCCCACGTCAGTGCTACAGTGAACTAAAGCTGTTATTGATCACAAAATACTTCTGTTCATTTCCCCTCTGGCCAAATTTGCTGTGTCACTGCTTTGGCAAATCGTTTCTCTGACGACCGTCAGTGGGAGGACTGTGCCGTGGTCACTGCCCGGCTAGTTGCCGGGAGTAGCAGAGGTTCTGTGTAGACGAGCACCGTTCAACGCGGGTAAGGGCCGGGTGTTGTTTCCACCCCACCGCCCGAGCGCTGGCGTGGGCGCAGATGGTGGCCTGGCCCGCAGGAAGCCCAGCCTTTCACAAGGAGCCTGGCAGGGCCGTGTGGGCAGCTGTCCCGCACACCTCAGAGGCCGGAACACAGACTCTGGTCACCACGCCTTTGACTAGGGCTGCGCATTTGCAAACACGAGAAAGGTCTGGAAGGAGGTGCAAGATCTGTAAGGCTAGTCACTGAGCTCCACTGATTTTTCTAAATAGTAATAATGACAGGTAACATTTATCGAGTGCTTGCTGTGTGCCAGGCACTGCTCTAAGCACGTTCTGTATCATCGAATTCTCGCAACGACCCCTTGAGGAAAATGCTATTCTCTTCTCCATTTTAGTATTGAGGAAACTGAGGCAAAGAGAGGTTACACAGCTTGCCCCAAATCCCGCACGCACTGCCTGCCTGAGCCCTGATGAGTTCAGACTGCGGACTCCAGAGCACAGGGTTTTAACCGGCTGGGATCCGCTGAAGCGCAGGGTGGTCTCACGCCCCCTCGGCTTCCCTCAGAGAAAGATGGGAGATTCACGTCCTCCTCTCGGGTGCCCCTGCCTGCGATCCCCCGCCTGCAGAGCAAAGGCTGGCGGAACCCCCGGCTGCCCGTGGCCGTGCAGGGCCGCAGTTAAGGCGCCGCAAGGGGCGCGTGTCTACACTGCCAGAGACGGGCCGAGAGTCAGTCGGGCGGGGCCTCCGGCGTCTCCTCGCCGCTTCCGTTCTGCCCTTTCATTCACGTCTGTGCGGATCACGGCTCTCGAGTTTGGGTGGAAGGAGGTGAGGCTGCCAATGCCTTCCTGCCCCAGCGGGGGTGAGACGGCGCGGATGCGGCAGAGGGGGGCGCCAGGGTCCCCTACTTCCGTTTCTGTTTTAGACACAGGACCCTCCTCTCCCCTCCTAGCTTGCCCCCTACTCACCTCCTTCCCCTCCAAGTTCCTCCACTTCCTTTCATCCTTTTATTTTTGTCCTTTTCTTTCCCTTTCTGTGACCCTCCTCTTTTGTCCCTTCCTCCCCCACGATTCTCTTCCTCCTGAGGTCTCCGCTGCGTTCTCACTGCACATGTGTATGTACGCACGCACGCACACGCACGCACGCACACACGTGCACACTATGCGTGCAACTCCTGTGACTGGGGCCCACTTGCTTTCGAGTTGCAAAGGCCAATCTGAAGGGAGCAGGGGACAGTCTCAGGATGGTTGTACAGTTAACTGGAGGATTCTCCCCCCAGGAGGACACTCTCGGTCACACCCTGCTGGCATTTCCCAAAGCTCGCCTGGAGGAACCCGCCCTGGCTGGAAAGGGGGAGGGGCCTGGGTCAGTGTTAAACCTCAAGTTCCCAAGCTGCCAAACAGTCTGAGGGAGTCACTTACGTTCACCGACACTCTCCCGGCTCCCGTGTCCCCTTGAGACCTCTGGGGTTTCCTCCTGAAAGTACGTGAACCACTGCGATAGCCTTCGACTTTTGATTGAGTGTGCAATCATTTTCCACGGAGTTTGGTCCGTTCGTTATTTTTTGTTAACTACACTTCTCGATATTCAAATGTTCTATTAAAAAACTGAGTGTGAAAAAAACCCCACTTTACTACTGTAGAAGGAAGAAAGAATATAATGTGACCATCTTCAGGTATAACAGTATTGTTTAAAAAAGAATTATTGTACAATTATAAAAAATGTAATAACCAACTAAATAATAAACAAAGCTGTTAGTAAGTGTTGGGTGTGTGGATGTTATCTTGTGGCTTTCAATAATCTGAGTGATCTGGTTAGAACTACGGGGGAGTTATTAAGGTTTGAAATGTTATACGTCAAATTCCAAATATATAGGCCTTATAGCCATCATTCTAACTAGAAAAAAGGTCAACTATTTCACAGCAAATGATAAACTTACTGTTATGTAGTAGGGAGTCCCTTCTCTCTGCCACCCGTGCCAAACAATCAGCCAATGGCATGTATTTATTGCCTACCTGTTGTGTTCTAGACACCAGGTGTGACGCAGAAGATACGAGCCTGTTCTCCATCACAGAGCGTGGCATCGTATGGGGAGCGTTAGACACTGAACCTATCATTATGGGGGAGGAGAACGACCACAAAGAAGTACAGGATGCTACGGGAGTTACTGAAAGTTGTACTTTGGCCACCTAAGAGAAACGTTGCCAAAGGCTCTCCCAGGCACTCTCCTCGCCTTGTGTAGAGGCATTCGAGACAGGCTGGCTATTGTGCAATGTTTCATGGTGAGTAGCTCAAAACGCTGAACCGCTTTCTTTCTCTCTACAGTGTAACTTGAAATAGACGTTATCTTAGCTGCCACCAAAATATGTGATTCTCTTTAAATTATTCAGTAATCATATATTAAGTGTCTAGGCTTAATATCCTCTGAAAAGTAATGATCCGCGTCCTAGCCCTGCCCACGCACAGGTGATTCAAAGACGATGACGACTGTGGCAGTTTTAAAGCATGGCCACAAATTCTTTGACTCCCCTCCTGCCTAGAGCGCCTCCTACTGCCTCTCCCCTTGAATCTGGGCGGGTTTATAACCGTTTTGACCTACAGATTGTGATGGAGGTCACACTTCCAATTCTGAGTCATGAAAAGCCTTGGAGCTTCTGCCTTCTTCTCTGGAGCTCTTGCTCCTAGAGCTCTGAATAACCACACAAGAAATCCAAGGTCACCGTGCCGGGACCACCGTGATGGAGAGGTCACGTGTGAGCACTCTGACTCTCAGTCCCAGCCGAGACAACCCTGCCAAGGTATCCCCACTTGTGCATGGCGCTGTCTGGGACCCCCAAGGCTAGTCCCTCTGCCAGTTGGATGCCACCTAGCGAGCTCCATCAATGCCATGTGGAAGAGAAGAATCACCCTGCCAAGCCCCTCCTGAATTTATGGCCCCCAAAACTATGCAACACAATAAAATGGTTATTGTTTTAAGCCACTAAGGAGATCTGCTAAATAAAGAAATTCTGATCTGGAGCCTACAGTGGCTAGTCCGTCTACCCAGTCACAGAGCATCTGGGTAAGCCCTGCCCAGGGCATGCACTCACCGTGGAAAGGAGACACAAATGTGTACAGATTGGGCTACACGTGCAGTGTTCCTCTCGCCAACGAGGTGAACCTCTGTTCCCGCGGAGGGGAGCAGAAAGAAGGGTGGGCCATTGCCTCCCAGTGCTTCTGAGAGCGTGAAGCTTGGAGCCCAGACAGAAACCCTGGGGGAGGGAGATAATTGTTCCAGGGCCAAGAAAAGAAAGAAGGAGAAGAGAGAGGCCAATTTAGGACAAGGAAGAAATATTGGACAGGAAGGACGTCTTGCAATTCCTTTTTCTGTCCTTTTGCATTTGGAACTTCTTGGATGCAAATGTACCCATCCCACACTTAAAATGTGTCTAGCACTGTGCTAAACACTTTAACTGCATAGCGCTCCTCAATCTTCATTGTAGCTCCAGAGTGAATAATCCTAAGAAAGAGGAAGCAGAGTCTCAGGGCCTTTATGTAACTTGCCCAGGTTCGAAGCTGGGTGGAAGGACAGGCATTTTGACAAAGCGCTGTCTGTCTCTAACCTGAACACCTCACTGTCTCCATCATTGATGAGTTTGTTTCTTAGTTAGTTTTCTAAAAATGGAAAAAGCTCCTCTCACGGAGACGTTTGCAAATCACTGCCCAGTTACCCTATGTCCGGCAGTAAGAGAGAATACAGTTGTCCCACCGCAATCCCATCGCTGCCATTGGGAAATCCACACAGGTGCGTAGCTGCCTCTCACAAGCTAACCATACATCTCTTCTTGTTTGTTGGTTTGTTTGGCTCGGTTTTGGGTTTGGTTTTCTGTCTGTCATGCAAGGCTGATTCAGAGCCGAGAAGTTTTGACTCTCCCTCTGCATGTTCAACGCTGCTCTCTATTGTGCTGTAATCGCTCTTTGGGGCCTATTCTCTGTGTTCTGCTTGCATCCGTGGTGACACTCCGTGCTTGCGCGAGAACTTGGGGAACAGAAGCCTAACTTGCTATGTTGCCCCAGGACCCAGCCCTGATTCTGACGGCCTTGGGTCTCCTAACCCAGCTTCCACTGTCAACTCCGATTTCATTGTCATTCTGAACGAACCAATTAATGGGCAGTTTAATGTCAAATGAAACCT